ACCTAGTGTAATGTTTCCAAGGTTTACCTGTATTATAGCAGGTATCAGAACTTCATTCATTTTTATGGTGGAATGCTATGATATTCTATGGATATACCACATTTTGTTAATCCATTCATCAGCTGGTAAACAATGCATTGTTTTCATTTTTTGGCTATTATAAACACTGTTATGAACATTAATGTACACGTTTTTTTTTAATGTTTGTTTATTTTTGAGAGAGAGACAGAGTGTGAGTGGGGGAGGAGCAGAGAGAGAGGGAGACACAGAATCTGAAGCAGGCTCCAGGCTCTGAGCTGTCAGCACAGACCCCGACGCGGGGCTTGAACTCACCAACCATGAGATCATGACCTGAGCTGAAGTCGGACACTTACGGACTGAGCCACCCAGGCGCCCCTATGTACAAGTTTTTATGTGGATATATGTCTTCAGTTCTCTTGAGTAGATACTTAGGATTGGAATTGATGGGTCACATGGTAACATGATGTTTAAACTTTTGAGGAACTGCTGAAGTGTTTTCCAAAGTGTCTACACCATATTGCATTCCTTCCAGCAGTGTATAGGGGTTCCGATTTTCCATGTCCTCACCAGAACTTGTTATTATCTTTTTATTATAGCCATCCTAGTGGGTATGAAGTGGTGTCTCATTGTGGTTTTGATTTGCATTTCTCTGATGACTAATGATGTTGAGCATCTTTCCATGTGCTTATTGGCCAATTTTTATATCTTCTTTGAAGAAACATCTATTCAAAAATTTTTTCCAATCATCTAATTTTTTTTTTAATGGCTGAGTTGTAGAGTTATTTATTCTGGATAGGAATCTCTCTCTCTCTCTTTTTTTTTTTTTAAATTTTTTTCAACGTTTTTATTTATTTTTGGGACAGAGAGAGACAGAGCATGAACGGGGGAGGGGCAGAGAGAGAGGGAGACACAGAATCAGAAACAGGCTCCAGGCTCCGAGCCACCAGCCCAGAGCCCGACGCGGGGCTCGAACTCACGGACCGCGAGATCGTTACCTGGCTGAAGTCGGATGCTTAACCGACTGCGCCACCCAGGCGCCCCTCTCTCTCTCTTTTAAATGTTTATTTATTTTTGAGAGAGAAAGCACAAGCAGGGGAGGGACAGAGAGAGAATGGGAGACAGAGAATCCAAAGCAGGCTCCAGGCCCTGAGCTATAGGCATAGAACCCAACACAGGACTCAAATTCACAAACTGTGAGATCATGACCTGAGCTGAAGTTGGATGCTTAACTGACTGAGACACCAGGTGGCTCTGGATATGAATCTCTTATCAGATATATGATTTGCAAATATTTTCTCCCATCTTTGGGTTGTCTTTTCACTTTTTTGATGATGTCCTTTGAAGTACTAAAGTTTTAAAATTTGATGAGATTCAATTAATTTTTTCTTTTGTTGCATGTGCTTTTGACTTCATTTCTAAGAAACCATTGTCTAAGCCAAAACCACAAATATTTAATTTTTTGTTTTTGTCTAAGAATTTTATAGTGTTAGCTCTTACATTAGGTCTTTGATCCATTTTGAATTAATTTTTGTATATGGTGTGAGGTAGGCATCCAACTTGATTTATTTGCATGTGGATAGCCAGTTGTTCCATTTATTGAAAAGATTACTCTTTCCCCATTGATGGTCTTGGCACTACTAAAAATGGTTAAAATTGAGTGACTATAAATGTGAAGATTTATTTCTGGACTCCCACTTCTATTCCATTGATCTATATGTTTATCCTTATGCCAGTACCACACTCTCTTGATTACTATACATTGGTATTAAGTTTTGAAATTGGGAAAGTATGAGTCCTCTAATTTCATTAATCTTTTTTCAGGATTGTTTTGGCGGTTCTGGATTCTTTGCACTCCCACATGAATTTTAGGATCAACTTTCCAGTGTTTGCAAAAACATAGCCTGGGATTTTGATAGGGATTTTTTATTGAATCTGTAGATTGCTTTAGGCAATATTGCCATCTTAACAATATTGTCTCTTGGGGCACTTGGTGGCTCAGTCAGTTAAGCATCCAACTTTGACTCAGGTCATGATTTTGTGGTTCATGAGTTTGAGCCTCACATCACGCTCTGTGCTGACAGCTCAGAGCCTGGAGCCTGCTTCAGATTCTGTATCTCCTTCTC